CGGTGAAAAGTTGATCGTAAACAAATTACTAAACCTTTGTTATCTAACAAACCATGTTTGTTATCAAAAAACTTCTTGACCGTACTGTGACAGGCCTCACTCTAACAAAAAATATTTTTCTAAACTGAAGACCACTTTAGACCACCACAGATTTTTCGCATTTTTATAAAAGGAGTGAAACAGATTGATTTTATTGGCAACCGTGTTAGGATTTTACAGATTCTCATCTCAGCACTTTTCACTATTTGAAACATGAGGTTTTTGGTTTTTGTTGGACCTATCAGGCCGAAAGCAAAATGAAAATGTAATTCTTTGTTATTGTAATTTGAAAGCTTATCCTAGCTTACAGAAAATCTTTGTGAGAATAAAATGAGCCAAATGGCTTAATTCGTCCGTTATGGAAGCCAGTCAGACTAGCTTAAACTCACCCCTAAAATGATGAGAATAGCAGCTACAACCAGGACATTTCCAATAAGTCCTATCCATGACAGCACTACCAAGCTGCGCACGGTAGCAATGAGTATGAAGAATGGTAGAATAGTGAAGAATAGAGTGTCACGTGAGAGTTCTGTAGAAAACAGAAAGTCGAGGACCTGCAAATACACACATTGTAAAAGTCTTTGAGCTACGGATGGAGACTTTCTAGTTCATACCTCTTTTGCATGATCCACGACGAAGATATAGAAGGCACTACAGATTCCTAGCTGTAGACCAATTATGCATGCATTCACTGCGATTCTGAAAAAGTCTAATCTCTTCAGGAAATTTTGTTGTATATACAGGACGAAAAGAGAGCATGGCTCGTTACAGATTCTTAGAATTTCGTGACTTTGACTGAGGTGGAAATTGTATGTTTGTTTTTTATGTGTAAGTGATAGAAAACTGCTAAACGGTCCATTCAAGGATTTTGATCAGTTTGATGCCAAAAGTAATAAAGTACCTATCTAAACACTTTCAGTCCCATCATCTCTTCTTTCTAAAGACAATGAGACTTTTTTTGCGAAAAGATGGTGTCACCATGCTTACCCACTCTTTCACTTTCGCTATGTCTTTCACGACTTATAGAATTCAAGTAATTATCCCAGGCTTCGATTTCACGGTTTCTTCTCCCTTGCCCTAAGTGAGAGTAAGTGGAGATTAAAATGCTAAAATTATGCTTTTTGCGCTTTATGTCGCAATTCTCTCAAGCTATCTGACATAATGAAAAAGGTACATTAATCATCATTAATTTTCTCAATGAGCATGATATTTGCAGTATTGGGAATGAATAGTAATTCAAACTTACTTCATGGGCTTTGCTAGCCTTCTCAAAGATTTAGACTGTTGCGTTGCAAAAGCTTCGTGTGCCATATCACCATAATTCAGAGTAAATCGCCTGTAAATGGTTAATGACTTTGGCTTTGGCCACTCGAACAACTTAAAAATTCATGAAGCACACAGAAAAAGTGCAGTTACACATACAAAGCAGTTGAATCCCATCCAGTTTTGTTGTACTTACTTCTCTACTGATTCTCCTTTCTCAAATTCTTCGAAATCCTTCTTTAGTGCCACAGCTTCTGGTTTGTTCTTCGCATTATCCTGTAAGAAGCAACATAGTTAAGATTCAAAGAATAACCAAAATTCTTCAAAGCAGACACCGATGCATCATAGCGGCTTTTCTCCATGGGTCTGACCGGCTGTATCGTATCTAGCTTATTCGTTTCTTCGTTGAGAGCCTTCCTACAATTTTCTAAGATTTTATTGAAAGGTTTTGTTCAGCATGACCAACTTACTGGTGGCACAAGTATTGAGAACACTTGACGAGCTTCATCATCGAATGTGCATTCACGACTCCCAAGAGGAAGGTCAAAATAACACCGGTCTAGAATAAAATTGAAAGTTAGAGTTTTTCATGACCTTAAATGGCGCAAAGGGATAAAATGGAAAAGTAAAATTCGTGTAACGATTTGCAAGATTTGTTCTCACACACACGATCCATTTTTTATTCATTCATTTTTTGTGAGTAATACAAATTTTGTCGTAAAATTTGTCTTAACAGCAATACTGTGAAAGAACGATTTGCATTAATAGATTGACTTTTCATCAGTCAAATAAGTAACTAAAATCGCTTTGTTAGTTTTATTTTTGGCTTACAGTCAGAATCGCGGTTCAGAGCAATATGCAGTCGTAAGAACCTCGTAAGGAAAAAATACTCATTGCAGAGTTTTTTGAGAAAAATCGCCAAATTTTCTGCGAACAACTTATTCCGAACAACTCAAAAACTCTATGAGTTGGTAAACTCATCCAAAAAATTTCGACTACCTTTTTTGGCTAATAACTGACCCTTGAAAATCATAAAAGCAGAAAAATTTTGTACCCTTTTTGCAGTGAGATTTTTTGCAAAAGATAGTATATGGTAAAGTTTTGTTCAGAACTTTTCAACTAATGTCATCCTCATCCTCCATAGCTCCCCCTCCCCCCGGCGACCTATCAAGACCTTTAACCGTAGAGTATGCTTATTTACCCATAATCCTGCTTGTTGGAATGCTACTGGTAGGGCGAACACGCCCACACCACACATAGCCTTGACCAGGTTGATGAACGCATAAGAACTCCTGGAAAGAAAATTTGAAGAGAGAGTGGGAGGAAAGTGCCAAGAAAAAGGTACATGGCTGAACCTACCTAATCATTGTGTAGCGAAGTATAGAGTTCTCACGTTGATGAAACTCGCACTAAGAGGTTCTTACCTGAAAACCTAGCAACTTTTTGAAGGGATCAAAGAATGAAACGAAAACACTCTCGAATAAAATTCTCTTCAATAGGAAGTGCACGGTATAAATGTGACAATAAATAACCATAATGGCTTCTTATCTTTGCAACTATCACTAATTCGATAATTGTGCCACTTCAAAGTCTTCATGCACTGATAATTACATGAGTTTCTATCAGTTGATTGACATTAAAAAATGAATTCAAATTCTGCAGCAAATGAATTGTTATCTAAGGCATGGAAATATATGGGGAATCTTGCAGGCCTGACTAGCAAAGCTTTCATCTGATGCAGCAGTTGACCGTGGGAATTTTATCTTGGAGTTTATAATTGATGGAATTGAAATCTGCAAAAGGTAACAGGTTTTGATAATGGCGAATTATTCGGGTTGAAGTGTTATCAACTTCAAGCAATTCAGCGATACTTTTTCCAGAAACATAGCTTAATCTTTCGCCAGAGCTGGCTTGATTTTAGATATCAAAAAGTAGTAAATGTTATCTGAAATGGCGGAACGTCTCGCCATTATGATATTACTTCATCGCCGTACCTGGCGCTCACACTAATTAAACCTGTCATGGTCAAGTTTCCTTCCATATATGGAACCGAAATGTATTTTGTACCCGAAACCCAGTGACGTCCGTTGTGAACACAGGTTTCGAGGCTTCGGTCCATATATGGACCATGCACATGAGACGAAAACCTAATAGTCCAAAATTTACCTAAATGTCATTTGAATGGGCTGAAAAAAGGGTATTCAAAAATGCTAAACTGGTTACGTATGTATTTACAATTTGGTGCAAATTTCGACTGTTGTAACTCCAAACGTTTATTTCACAATATTTCGGAGAGTACAGAATTGTGTTTTAGCTTTCCATCTCAGCCAACTTGCACGAATCTATTTTCATTTGAAGGAAATTATGTACACCCTGGAAAGTCAGACTTGAGCAGTTTTAAGCTTTTTGAAATTAAAGCAGGAAATTTTACTTTGGCTTGAACGACGGAAAAATTCGAAGCAACGCTAAAAATTGGACTAAGCAGAAATGAAATATATTATGGGCTTTCTATGGATGGAGTCTTGTGGACGAAAATTTTTTTAGTCAGCGATGGTTTTTGCTGTTTACAAATACACTCCAAAATTTGCATAGCTGTGCAGCCCGGGAAAAATGCCAGAAATGGAGAAAAGGTAGAAAAAAGTCACTACGATTCGGAACAGTCACCAAATAGTCCAATGTACTACTCTACATAAATGGAAATTCCTCCAAGATATTTCCAAGAAACTTATAGAAATGGTGCAGAAGTTCCTCCTCAAAGGCAACTTGGCAGAATCTCGTTTTCCAG